TATATTTTATTATTTAAATATTTTATTTTGATATATATACACACTAATAATCCCAGAGGGAAATTACTTCTCTGGATTTAACCCAACCCCTTGGGGAGCAGTGGGCTGCCATAGTGCGGCGCCAGGGGAGCAGTGTGGGGGATCAAACTCACAACCTCAGGATTCAAAGCCCTATGCCCTAACAACTAGACTGCCACTCCCCTTAAATGCACTTTGTTTTAGTCTTTTTCCTGCTTCACAAAGGCAGGCAGCAGCTTGACATGAAGCCATGATGGTGATTATTTTACATCCAGGTAATATGCAGTTTATATATGCATACATACATGCACACACATCAATTTCAAACAGAAGGCATCTATATCGACCAATACTGCACAGCCAGGTATCGGGGCCAAAAAATGGCATCGGTGCAACACTAGTGAAAACTTATTTGATTTAATGGTTTGGTGCACTAAATAAGCAACAGGAGTACAGGAGGAGCTTTCAGACTCCCAACAGTAAATCAAATGTTGAAATCAATGCACAATTTTATCTTCCATATCATTATTAATAATTGGCTTTTGGTGGTTCTATAGTAGATAAAGCAAATCCCAGAAAAAAAACCAGTTCAAATTCAGGTATAAAGTGAAAGAAATAGGAAGAAAACGGTTCAAGATGTATGAATCCTTTGTTAAGCCACTGTAATAAAATAGTGTTCAGGGTTGATGAGCTTTGGGATGCCTACCAGGCTGCTCTGTCACATCCACTTTGGCTACATTGATGCCCATGTCATCCCCCCAGTCTGCAAACTCTCTCCACACCGTCTGCAGCTGCTGGCATGCGGGACACCAGGGCGCGTAGCTAAAAGGAAAAAAAATAAAATAAATAAAATAGGATTGGAGGCTTTAAATTGTTAATGCTCGGGTCAAAATACGTCCTGCTACTCGACATCGTTAGCCTCCAAGTTAGCTCATTGAATGACACACAAATAGCTAGTTAGCAGTGAGTAAAGTCTGTTTAGAAGGCTAAACAATTTCACTACAAAGTTAAATAAGATTAGATCTTCTGTTAAACTCCTTTAGCTGACGCGGGAACTTTACGTGTTTAAAATAAAAACTACAAAACTAGCAGAATAGCCCGTTAGCAGGACACTGACAACTCAATCATCCATTCTCCTGTCATTATCTTCTCCCAGTCTCCGTCCGTCACCTCCTTCAGACTGTCAGGCTTGGATGAAGCGGAGCAGACCAGCAGAAGGAGAACCCAGCAGGTCCAGGAGCGGAGCTCCGCTCTTCCTGCCAAAAACAACATGATTACTGTCATGCTGCTGCTAGCTAACAGGCGAGCGGCGTCCACTCCACAAGTCACTTCCGGTGTGCGCGTTCCGTTTAACGGAAGTGACGTTTATCAGCAGATAGATAGATAGATAGATAGATAGATAGATAGATAGATAGATAGATAGATAGATAGATAGATAGATAGATAGATAGA